TATCCTCGGGTGAGGATAAATAAATAAATAAATAAATGGTTTCTTTAAAAAAAAAAAAAAAGAGTGTTGTCTCTAGAGACCTGCTATCTAGGTTCAAATAGTATTTGTGCAATTTTTAAACTATGTAACCTTGGACACATTAATCTCTACTTCATCTCTCTATACCTCAATTTTCTCACCCATGAAGTAGGGATAATAATGGTACCTGTGTCATAAGGTTGTTGAAGGGTTAACTAGGTTAATACATGTTAGTGCTTAATGTTGTTATTACTAAGGAGAATGGCTTTGGATGGCACCAAATTTATGATGAGGATTTTATGTGCAAATGCAGGGCTGAGGCAGAGTTAAGTAGCAGGGTCTGGAGATAGCAGAATTTCTTTGGATAAATGAGTGCAAAGAATTTGGAGTTTAGGGTGGGGGAACAATCAGAGAAGAGAGTAAAGTAGAGAAATAAGGAGAGAGGAAATTTTAAAAGCAATTTCAAATTTACAGTAGTAGTTAAGAACAGGTATATTTAATTCAAAATTGTTTATGTTGCTGAGATCTAAACCACCACAAAAATAAAATGGTACAGTACTCCTTGGAGAGTAATTTGGCACTATCAAAATTAAAATGTATATATTTTTGACCCTTTAATTCCATTTCCAGGAATTTATCCTACCTTGGTACTTGCAAACAGACTCATGACCTTTTTGCAAAACCAGAGTTTAGGAACCACCACCTGTCTATCAATGGAATACTATGTGTCCATTAAAAATATTGAGGCAAGGTTATACATATTATACAGTATATCTATGCCAGGGGTCCTCAAACTTTTTAAACAGGGGGCCAGTTCACTGTCCCTCAGACTGTTGGAGGGCCGGACTATAGTTTTAAAAAAAAACTATGAACAAATTCCTATGCACACTGCACATATCTTATTTTGAAGTAAAAAAACAAAACAGGAACAAATACAATATTTGTATTTGCATGTGGCCCGCGGGCCATAGTTTGAGGACCCCTGATCTATGCAATAGAATACTATGTGTCCATTAAAAATATTGAGGCAAAGTTATACATATTATAGCCAATCTAAAAAAGAAATACATATCTCAGGCAGCGGGAGAGCCTAAGAGTCAATGGAAGCAGCCATGCCAAAGTCCAAGCCAGAGTCTAAACACCTGGAAGAATTTAGAGGCTTCATACTTGGAGTGGCTGGTGGGGGTAATGAGGGATGAGAATCGCAAAGCCTCCCACAGAGTTGCATGGAGGGAATATCATCCTAACAGCAGGCGGGGAATTAGCAAAGGGGAAGGTCCTTGATAATTCCTTTAAAAACATCAGGTGTCTGTAGGTGCCATGCAGAAATCTGTAGTTTTTGGTCCCTGGGTGGGTCTGGTTTGCTAAATGCCCCGGGGACAGATTGAAGAAGGGTAAGTAGTGGAGCAGGATGATGGGGCTAGGAAAATGAGCCTGGGAAGCTATGGGTGGGTAATTGCAGTGACGTGGATTTCAACTAGCTTTTCAACTGAGCTCAAAGGATGTTCATCAAAAGATTGATATCAACAAAGAGAGGGGCCTCGCGGTCTTAGTAAATGCATATATATTTTAATGTTTTTATTGACTATAGAGAGAGAGGAAGAGAGAGGGTGATAGTAACATCCATGAGAGAGAAACATCGATCTGCTGCCTCGTGCACCTCCCTGCTGGGGACTGAGCCCGCAACCAGCAACCCCAGCATGTGCCCTGACTGGGAATCAAACCAGCGACCTCTTGGTGCATGGGTTGACGATTAACCCCTAAGCCACACCTGCCAGGCTTACTAAATATTTTTTTTAAATCAGTGACTTAGATCAGCAATTTTCAACCTTTTTCATCTCATGGCACACATAAACTAATACTAAAATTCTGCAGCACACCAAAACACACACACACACACACACACACACACACACACACATATATATATATTTGCTGATCTGACCAAAAAACAGGTATAATTTTGATTCATTCACACTGGACTGCTATTGTTGTGTTGGCTCTTGTCATTTTAAAATTTGACAATCTCAGGGAAAAGAGGTCAGTGCCTCTGACTAAATAATCAGGTATTGTGTGTTTTAAAAATTCTTGTGACACACCACTTGAAAATTGCTGACTTAGATGATGATCTAGCTGGGACAGATAATTAATAGAATGGATGATAGAAGCAAGAATTAAAATAATCTTGACAGATTAGAACAAAGTGCCAAAACCAACAAGAAATTTGACAGGGATAAAGTGAAGACTTATGTTTAGGTTTTTAAAACATCAATTGTACAGAAAGGAGTGAGACTGGCTTGACAGCATTTGACGTGAAAAAGGTTTGGGTCTCACTAAATCCAGTGCCGTCACTGTTTCGTGAAAAGACAATGTCAGATCAAGAGAGCTCATAGTCTCACCACGTTTTGAACTGACCAGTTCTGACTTCCCGGAAGATATTGATGAATTAGTGTATACCAGTGAGAGATCAGGTTGGGAAAAAGTCCAGTAACCTCACCAGGTGAGGAAGAACGGGTCGAGTTTGGACATGTTAAATATGGGGAAGAGAAGACTAAGGTGCATAAATAATAGTTGTCCTCAAATGGCTGTTTTTGACAAGTATAAGGCTAACACTATGACATTGCCAATGTTTAACCATTTTGATCCCTAAACTGGCAATTTCATTTGGCTCAACCTAGTAGAAGAGGATGGAAACTCTTTTTGTAATGCTGCAGAGACAAATGAGAATCAATGGGTGAAAGAGGGAAGCAAAGATTACATCAACATAGGAAGGAGTTTGTCACAATCAGATGCTCTAGAGCAGACTGAGCTGCCTTTACCAAGTTCTAGGTTCCTTGTCACCGAGAGAGCCCGGGCAGAGCTGGGCAACAGTCTCTTGAGGATATTTAGAATTTTCTGCATTCAGTGGGAGACTCCATGATCCAGCCTGCGTCTCCAGTCTCTCCAGCTGAACTCCACAATACCAAGACAGCACAGCAGGCTGCTGGGAATGCCTTGGCCATTCTGTGTTGTCTTCTACTGCTGTGTCTCTGTGCACATCAACCCTAGAATTTCACATCTCCTAACTGTGCACCCTTCAAATTCCTACTCACCTCTGCAGACTCAACTCAAGTGTAGGCCCATCTGAACTCTCCAAATGGTCTGCCATACGCTCGCCTATGCACCTTGTACCTGCTGCTTACTCTGTAGTGTCACTTAACATTCTTTTGTAATTTTTTGTGGACCCGTCTCTTTCCTACTAAGTGTGTGTGAGCTGCTTGTGGGCCAGAAACATCTCTTCCATCTTTATATCCCGTGTTGTAGCAGCTTTTGTAGCTTCATGTTCTTTTAATAACATTAAATGAATGCATAATATTAATATTGGATGTTTTGATTATATATGTAAAATTTAAAAAATTATTACCTATGCATTTTAATAAAATATTAATTATTCAAAATTAATGCCCTTACTCTGGGGGATACACATTGATATTTTCTATTTTATTTTGTTCATTTTAAAAAATAAAGGTCATAATCTAGGTTCCAAAATTAATGTAGGTTTCCAGCCTTATTCTGAAAAACACTGAACTATATAGTCAAGAGCAGGGATTTGAGCTCTGGCCTGGTAGCTCATTTGATTAGAGTGTCATCCTGATACGCCAGGGTTGCAGGTTCGATCCCTGGTCATGGCCCATACAAGAAGCAACCAATGAATGCACAAATAAGTGGAACAACAAATCAATATGCTTCTCTCTCTCTCTCTCTCTCTCTCTCTCAAATCAATTAAAAAATAAAAAGAGCAGGGATTTGAATGGAAGGTATGAGAACCTAATGGAAGCTGTCGGCCTTCTTGCCAGAAAGATGCATGTGTGCACTAAATTGACATTCAATTTCAGAGGCTCCTTGTACCCACTAAATCCTTCTGTGCATCATGGGTTATGAGAGTTTCTTCTAACTTCTATTTTTCTGAGAAGCATGTAGACGTAGGCTAGGAACATCTAAGAGTCACCCAGAGAGAGAGCACAAAATTGGAAGGGAGGTGCCTAAAGAACAAAGACTAGAGGGACAATTCTGGGGTGGGGCAGGCAGGACAGTTAAGTACCTGTGAAAGGCAAAGGAGTGGGGAGCAAGGAAATCCTGGTTAAGGGTTAGGAGGAAGGAAAGGTGCAGCACCCCTGGGCCCGGAGATCGGGCCTGCTGATCTGATATTCTTTCCAAACTATGGGCTTTCTTCTCTCCTCCCTATGGCTCACTTTCCCTTCCTCCCCTTTAGGCAGCCCTTATGGAAACTCTGAAACTTTTCCTCTTTTCTTCCAGATGGGGAGCTCTGGCAGAAAAAGTGTTCTGGCCCGCGTGCAATGACGCCGTTCTCTCTGCCAAGGGATCAAGTTAAAATCTGCTTTCCTGGAAACCAGCTGATGTCTTTAGGAAGCATGACCCTCGTTAGGGAGACATTGGGACCGTTGGATAAAGAAGGGATAGGAAAATATTTTTCAGCTTTCGCTGATATAGTAACTTACAAGGATAAAATATGAACACCGCCCTAGCCCGTTTAGCTCAGTGGATAGAGCGTTTAGCGTGCGGAATAAAGGGTCCCGGGTTCGGTTCCAGCCAAGGGCACATGCGCAGGTTGTGGGCTCGATCCCCAGTAGGGGGTGTGCAGGAGGCAGCCAATCAGTGATTCTCTGTCATCATTGATGTTTCTGTCTCCCCTCCTCTCTGAAATCAATAAAGAAATATATTTTTAAAATAAATAAATAAAATATGAGCACCAACAAATAATTTAAAAATGGAATCTCCTGTTTCTGAGATCTAAACTCAGGATCACAGACTTGATAAGGTCTCCCTTGAATCTTAGGTAACTCTAAAGTGTTTTCAACAACATGTCGAGGAGACAACAAACATATATCTCACATTCCACAGGACATACAGGGAAAGGGACATAAGCATAACACAATTGATTTCCTATTGCCCCTCGGGAATTTGGGGGTTGTGAGAAGTTTTGTAAAATCCAGAAAGCCCAGGACATTATTATAGTCCATTATTAACATGGCTAAGGGGAAAAGAATGAAATTTGGGGTGGGGTTAGGAACCTGAGTTATGTGCCTAGATAGGCCCTGACTCACTCTGCGAAGATGGCCAGTCACTTCCTGGCTCAGTGTTCCAGTCCCCTTTTTCCCCAGCCCCTTCGCCTGCCCAAGTAAAATAAAATAACAATTTTATTCTTTCTTAAGAAAGTTAAACCTGATTGTTTCTATAAAGCACTCTGGAAAATAGCCAGCCTCTGAGTGTAGCAATGTGAGATGATTTTATTCATTTTATAACCCATGTCCTGGGTGATACCTAAACCATGAGGACTATAAACTTCTTTATTTTTGTTGGAATCCTCAGTTGGGGAGGAAATACATAGGTGTTCCGCTTCCTCTTCTCTTCTGTCTCTTCTGTCTTCTGGGAATGACACTGTTGTGTTGCTAAAAGGTCCGTGGGGAGATATTTGGGAGATAACTGGGTAACACCCAACTAGGTCAGGGAATGAGTCAGGGCTCAAGGACTCGATACCAACCTCTCCCACTCCTGCCAGGAAACCTCCTGGGGTGAGACGGAGATGAGAAGGGAGCCAAGGGGCGGGCCTCACGGCTGCCTGCCCTGGGGCCTCTGGCTGGCTGTTTCACCCTGGTTTGCCCTGCAGCTGTACTGTGTCTGCTGACGTGCAAGCCGTGACACACTCTTCCTCCCTCTCTCCTGAACCTCTGCTCAGTCTCAGAAACAGATGGCCCATCCCACCCCACAAGTGACTCTAAGAGAGATGAGAAGGAAGGGGAAGAACCGAACCAGGTGGAGATCTATCCCTTCAGAAAACAGGGCAAAATATAAGAGACATAGGAGGTGAAGAGGAAGTAGAAACTGCATTCTCCTCTGAGGAATCAGGATAAGAACAGAAGAGCATCATGGCCGGGCTGTTACAGATGATAGAACAGGATTGAGAGCTAAGGCTGAGAAGGACCAAGTAATATCAGCCTGAAATCCTGTAAGACTCAAAAGCAAAATGGCAAAAATAAAAAAATAGTCACAATTCTTGTTTGGAGGTCCTCAGCTCTTGCAAATCCATCTCTCTTTCATCACCATCGATCCCAGTTGGTGGCAATTCTTAGACCTCTCCTCCAGGACAAAAAAACAAAACCATTTTAGGCACCTAATGTCTCCCAGTCACACGTTTCCATAAATGATTTCACGTAGTAGTGCGCACAACAGCCTTACCAGGTAAGTTTTATTATCATTGCCATTTCACAGAGGGGTACACTGAGACTTTAATCACTTAGAGGATTAAAGTGATTTGTTCATAGAGTTTGGAAGTAGTGGGGTCTGTACCAGTTACCAGAGTCCCCAGAGATTCCATTATACCAAATTGCCTTTGATATAAAGTCAAGTCAAGTCAAAAATAGTAGAGATTTCTTAAAGCTCCCAAGGAGCAGTAAGGAGCAGACCAAGTAAAGAGCAATGGGCAGAGATCTCTAATTCTCTAAAGGTGGGTATTTTAAATCCTGGAATTGTTGGGTTTGCATAGTCTGAGATCCCCGTGCAGCCTTGGTACCCTCTAGTGGAAGTTTTCTGCATTCACACAGCTTCCCTTCAACCCCAAAGAGCTGGAGAACATCCCAAAAGAATGGTCAGCTGGAAGGTACGTGTTTGTAAGTCAGAGTCCATGGCTGGTAAACAGAAGAATACAGACTAAAGGTATGCTAAGCACTTGGTTCACAAGAGGCCCCAAAGGGAGTCCTTGCCAGTGTATTATAAATGAGCTCAGGCCTTTGTGCATTATTAATAAGAGCTAAATACACATCACAGGAGACTGGAGGCTTTTAGGGCTCTAGAGAGTGACTTTTTTTAAAAAAAATGAGGAAAATTAGTGGTCAGAGATGTGAAGTGACTTTCTTTTAAGGCAGGGTCAGTCAATGTCAGCAATGGTGGGACTTGAACCCATGTCTCCTGCCTCCCAACCCGGAGCCCTTCCCACTGCATCACACTTTTATATTTATTGACTGTAGACATAAATTGATGTGCATATAAGGACATGGGGTTGTAGGTATAATCAGCAAGTTGTTTTCCCTTCGTCTGCCCAGAATCTATACACTTTCCAATTTTTTGTTCAACATGTTTATAGAATGCCTATTATTGCCAAACACTACTCTAGGAATTGCTTTTACAGGGCACCTCAGCACATGACAACAGTTCCCAGGCTCCTGAACCCCGTGTCTACAGCCCTCCTGACACTCCTGGAGCTTCTTCCCCATTTCCCAGTGCTAACGTGTGTCGTCAGATTTCTTTCTGTCTCCCTCCTCCAGCAGAGGTAATCCCTGGGAGCAGAAGTGGGTTAGAAACAGATTACTCTGATCCAGGGGCTTTGTTCTTAGTAGGAGGGGGAAGAGACGGTGTCACAAATAGCTTGAAATTCCCTTTTAGGATTATTGCTCGATTTAGGCAGCTGGGGCGAAAATGGAGCAAGAAGAGGCTAGGGATTAATTCTAGACCTAGCTTCAAGAGCGGGCAGCATGGGCTTCTTTTCTGGCTGAGCTGGAATGAGCAGTATCTTTTTCTAAACATACCTTTCAAGATAAGGAGTCTGAGGCAGGCAGATATGGCAAAGGGAAAGGCCTTTGCCCTCAGCAGTCGGGCTGAGTGGGAGGACAGATGAGAAAGGACAACAGCTAGGAGAAGAAAGTCGTGCAGCACAGAAATAAGAAATCACTTTGGACTTGGAAACAGACCTGCCTCTAGGTGGTCTTAGTTTCAACAGAGGTGAGAACTGCTCCCTAGGGGGCCACAGCTAACACACAGGGCTTCCTGGGGATTTCCAGGGCCTATCTGGGTTAGGAGCTGTCTTGCTTTAGGGACATTGCACTGGGGTGGACTCTGGGGGCAGGGATGCTATCTGTGTCCAGCACAAAGACCAGTGACACATAAGCAGGACTCTGCTAGGCTCTATACATCCCTTCCAGGGTCATAGGGCTTGGAAGCAGTGGCCATAACTAGCCAGAATGGGAACACGTATTAACTCATTTAATGATTTAATAACAATTCTATGAGTTAGGTACGTATTTACCCCCTTTGTATAGGTGAGGAAAAGAGCTGGAGCTAAGATGTAAACTTAGGCACTATAGCATTCTCAACCATTACGTGAGAGTCATAGATAGTTAACTCTTGGAGTGACAAAGAAGCCCTGCTAACATTGTTAGCTGAAAATCACTTGAGAACATTTCCTAGAAAGTCAGAATTCTTGGCTTTCCTATGCCACTTTATCTTGGAGAATTCACTTCTGTTCTTCATGCTCTCAGGGAAGGAAGTACAACAGGAATACATGGCAAGCCTATTGCTTGCATTGTAATCAATAAATACATTGTAATCAGATTTGTTCAGTTCTCCAGAAGGATTTTTCTTCTTTGAATCAACTGTGCTCCTCTTAGAATGCAGGCTACCGGAAAGAACTGCAGGAATTTCAATCTTAGATGCCACCTGCCCCGGGAAGGGGGGAAAAATGCAAGTACACGCCCCCACTGCTTATGAGATATCCCATTCTTTTTGGTTCCATTTAGAAATTTCAAAATTTGGAGAAATAAGAAATCAATTTTGCCTTCTGCTTCATCATATTTCATCTGGGATTCTATTCATTTATTGAATAAATACATGAATGTCTACTATGTGCAAGACTGTCCTTTGCAAGGCTGAGCCCCTAACCACTTTATTCCTCCCTCTACTTGCACGAGTTCCCTTCTCTTGCTTTTTCTGAAATGTGAATTACTAGGGTTACAGAATTAAGAAATATCCCGTGGTGTTACTTTCCCAGCAGACAGCTCCCAATTTTCCATGAAGTTAATGAGATAGAAAGATATGAATTTTCCAAAAGAGCAGCTAATAGGAAAAGAGAAGCTCATTCATTCATCTCAGAATGAATTAAATGATGTTAACTTCCCTTATTATTTCATCCAGGCTGATATGAAACAAATTTGCATTCCTTGAGAAGCTGATCAGAGGGCAGGCAGAGGATGATCTGTGATGTGTTGGCTACCATGCGAGGCCAACATAAACTCAACAGTGGAGCAAATAATCCCAGATTATATCAATGTTCTGTATTAATCAATAACTACTCAGTGGAGTGGTGTTTTTTTCACTTCGGTGGTGAGACAAGTAAAATAAAAATTTCATGTTTTATTTTCTGGGGCATAGATTGACAGAAGTCTGTTAAGAAATGACTAGATATCTCTCATTTAACTGCTTAATGATATATGTTCTTTAATTAATACATATGGCAACTAACTTCATGTTGCTATTAATGTGTAATGCTATAGGTTCAGTGCTGTGGCTAGGGCTGATAGGGAATTCTTACCTTTGAAGAATTTGCAGTAGATTTGAGAAGTCAAGATTTAAGACAATGCATGTGATCCCCAAACCCAAAAGTAATCTCTCTCTTTCCTTTCATAGTCCTTAGCATTTTACCTGGAACTTTGTAGCAATTCTATTCCAGCCAGTAAGCTCTTTATGTACATACCATAGTTTCTGACTCATTGCAAAATACTGTAGGTAAGTGCTCAATAGACACTTAATTGTCAGGATAAGATAAGAACCTATGGGTAAGT